ATTTTCTCTCGCACAGGCTTCGGGAGGTGAGAGTACGGTAATCCAGATCAGACCAAATTCACGTCGAATGCGGAGTGCCTCAGGGTTCCGTATTGGGCCCCGATTATTACTGGTCTTCATAAACCATCTAGTTACTCGAATTGCGTCAAACTGTTTACTCTACTCCGATGACATCAAAGTTTGGCGAATGATCAGAGCTCCAGAAGACCGTATCCAGCTCCAAATCGACCTTGACGATATTTATGGATGGTAGGTCCAAAATCGCCTTTCCTTCATTTAAGACATCGAATGGTTCACACATATAAGCCGGGGGGCCAGGATCTGCGATACTGTTAACACGAAAAGGATCTCGATATGTTGGTCCAGGAAGATCACGGCTGCTCGGATCAGTCCAAAAAGGCATCGAAGAAGGGGATCCAAATTGTGGGGCTTTTACGGAGAGCTCTCGGGCAATTCGAACCGTCGTTTTTCCGCTAAGTACTTCCCGCTTATATACGCCTTCATATTGAATATGCCATTTAAGCATGACACCCATGACTAAAGCGGGATCTTTTGGCCTTGGAGTATACACAACGTCGGGCGACCAAAAATGTCAACGGGCTCCGCCACTTGTCATACGAACAGCGCATTAGATTGCTTGGCATTTACAGCGTACGTTATCGCCGTTTGCGTGGTGACCTAATCATGGTTTGCCAAATATTAAACAACATTAATCACCCGTGCCATCACCTATTGAAGCTGCGTCACAACAGCCAACTGAAAGATCATCATCACAAATTGGCAGAACAATACAGACGATTGGAGTGTCGAAGAAACTTCTTCTCACTGCGCGTTTGCCACACGTGGAATACCCTCACAGAAGCTGTTGTTACAGCCCCCACGTTGGCCGTGTTCAAAGCATGTGTCGACGGCTCACTGGCCATACTAAACCATATCACGTAATCCAAACGACCCATACAAACAGCAGGAAAACTAAACCAAACCAACACACCTCCATTTTTACCCGGAAACCACAGACGATAATCTTAGGTATATGTAAAACGGACGGGAACGCTGTAATCGGCAAGTTCTCAATTTGCAGTTGTTCACCAATTTCTATTGTCATTTTTGCCTTTATCATCCGGCAGAACATGTCAAGCTTCGGCTTTATTTTATCCGCAATATACCATTGACCATTAACCTCTGAATCATCAATTTTTCAACGAACTGAAGTAGACGGGGATTGGAGGATCATTTGAAGTACTCGTTTTATGTTTAGATTGCTACGCGCAATCACAATGTGGACTGTAACTCGCTTGGAAGTGAATGTTGATCAATTTGATCAATGGAACCGTAATTGATGAGGCAGTAAGAAAGTGGATGTTGACCGCCAGAAAATACTGCGTACTGCGGCGCTTTTCGGCTTTATCTGGTTTCGTCAGATAGAGATAGAAGGCCTAGAACCCAGGGTGTTTGTTGGGACATCTACCTTTTTAGATACCGTCGCAATCCAACCATACAAGGAGTACTTCAAAATGACTCCAATCCGTCAGTAACGGTTTTGCCAAGCGTTTCCCGGTCTGACTCGGTCGCTAAATCAGTAGCGGCACAAATTGACCTCCCAACAGTCTTGGATTCAAGGCCTACTATCTCTACCTGATGAGAGCAAATGTAGTCGAAACGCCTTTTGGAATGCAGTGCTTTCGGGTGAGCAGCGCCTAATTTCCATAGGCGAGAATTGTTTTGTTTGTTACATTAAACCCTCCGCGTGTGTTTTTGCACACAGAGCAAGCAAGTCTGTGGTGGACAATCCAACAAGCGATGTACAGCCATATTACGCTGGAGGTGCTCTACAATCATTCCTGAAAGCTATCTTTCAGTTCGGCCAATGTACTTGCTACTGCAAGTAAAGTCTCTTTCGATGTATGCTCATTATTTAGGGACCTCACTTTTGAAGCAAGGTTGGATATAATAGCGAGGTATGCTGACAAAGTCGGTTCCCAGCTCTCCGACTCATGTCGTTAACTGACTGCGCACAAAAGATATTCAGTTCCGATACAATGGAACTCTTTATTGGCAGACCGACGGCGTGGCCATAGGCAGTCCAGTGGGCTCAGTTTTGGCTGATGTCTTCAAAGACCAGCTGGAAAACCCAGCTGCATCTTATATGCACAGTACACACTTTTATCGCTGGTTTATGGACGTCACATTCATCATCTTTAGCAATCCTTAGCAGGCGACATATTTTGCCAAAAATGGTGATCATGTGTTACCCTTCGGACAATTTTATGAAGGAAAACGAAACCCATGGACCCTTCCGTCTCTTGGATGTTAACTTACACAAAAAGCATGACAATACAGTCGTTCAGTATGCATACAGAGAAGTAAAATGAACGAGACAATGCCCCAACTTTCATATGTGCTCGCGGATAAACTACGCACGAGCTTTAGTCTGTACCAATTTTGCTAGAGATTGTCAAATTTGTTCCCCGGCCACAATCGATAGTGAATTGGAACGCGTCACCTCGACACTGCAAGAGAATGGATATCCCGAACGATTCATGGCACGGCACACGAACTTAGAGTCCAACGATAAAACATTAACTGATAATCCAATGAAAAAGTCATTCGTTACGCTGTCGTCTAAGAGGGATCAAATTGACAGGAGATGTGGATATCCTCTTTGCCAATCTGTGAGGAAGTGTAATTCCACGACTGAGCTAATAGTGTTGCAGTGAGTCAAAGGGTTGCTGTGTAAATCCAACCTGGATAGACCGGACTCTCAAGTTAGCACTTCATACATATACCACTTTAACTGTACGTGCGGCAGCAAGTACCTTAGCCGAACTGAGTGAAGGTTGTCAGCAAGGATCACGGAGCAGGTCCTGCTTACTCATTAAGAGACCCGTCTCCAAAAAGACAACATGATCTGGCAAATACCTGCACTTTACATCAGTACGGTTCAAGCGGACCTTAGTGGAAACTTTAGTTAATCGTAACAGATGCATTTGCCTGACTGATTATCTGACCGACGTGATAGAGTTACTTAGGACTACACTCATGGCAGTCGGCCGGTAGCCGAGTGGTCTGCGCATCTAGTTTGCAACCTTAAGGTCACCGGTTCGAATCGGCGTAGGGGCGGTCGTGCACGCAGTATGCATAGCCCACGCGCGACTGGCCGTGGTCGCGTGGCAGCGGAGCGCCGTTACGTCCTACAGCTGACACGTCGTCGGTCACACTCATGCCAAATGGTTATTTATGGAGAAACAGCCAACAGCCAGGCCAAAAGGACTTAGTGCGTACAACAGCCAAGAAAAGGTCCATATTGAGTTGCTTTTCAGGATCACCAAACTTTTAATCTCCGCTACACAGACAAGTTACAATGCTGCTCAAGCTGTGGTTATTAATCGAACTCGTAACTTCCGATACATCCAACGAAGGAAGCCCAAGCAACCTTGGCCAACTCACACTGAACCTACCAAGTAATGTGTGTTGGAGGAGTCAATTACATAAGCAAAACCGATAGGTCTCGTACTTCCCGAATAAAGAAACACTTACTAGGTGGGTTCAGCGTGCAGTTGATAGGCATCTTTGCTCCCGTAAATTTCCGTGCTCACACAGACCGCCAGCTTCCTCAATAGGTAGACACATAAAGGTCAGGCGTCTCCGGGCACAGCTTGGATCGACGTTCACTATCGTTGTGTCACGCTAATCCATATTTTCTTCGTTTTGCCCATGTCGTCGCAATAAACCGATTGAAGCCGTCCATATATGTACAGGAACAATTATCCTTAAGCTTAAGGCTGTTATGGACTTAGCGGTTGGTTGCGTTATTCAATTTGCAACTCAAGCGTGAGTGGTCACCCCCATAGTTAACGCTATTGAAGAGACAATACAAAGTGCATGCGTCTACCAGCCTTCGTTTCCTTACCATGCTTTTAAAACTAGATCAGTGTCTGCCGCAGCTGCAAACGCAACCCCGCCTGCTAAGTTGTCACACTGGCACAGTCCCTAACTTGCTTGCCGTGAATTTGGTGCCATTAAGAAACAGTTTCGATTAAAGTTCTGGGGGCGGATGCAAACACAGCAACATTGATACCGTAGAATAACGTAATAATTATTCTGTTCCCACTAATACAAACGCCACATACAGCTGTCAGCGCTGGACATCCCGCATTCAGGATGTCAGACGTGTTCGTAGTATGGTCTGGTTCTCCATCCGTCCATCGTAAGCAGAAGCGTCACGTTTCATGAAATGGCAATGTCGCACCACATTATCGCAAAACTCGATATATCGGTCCATTCTAAGGGAATACGTTGCATTATGTGAAAAACTCTTGCGAACTTAATACAAAGAACTTGTGGATGCAGTTAGTTACATCCAAGAAGGTTCACCCAGCTAGCCTGTGCCTTCCCTCTACATCGATAAAGATTGTTAAAAGCATTGCACTGTTTCACACAAACCATAATTAAATACAGAATGCAAAGCCAGTTAGGTAGGTAGAATGGTTCTGTCAACTCACCTCGAAGACAAGTATTAGATCTAAAAATATTAAGCCTCTAAGACACACAGCGGGTGCTCCAAAACCCGAAAATCTACTCCTAACCGAGGTGTCAAACACTGCTCGCAGAGCTCAATGGCCTTGTGATCATGACGTTAGGCGCCAAACACTATGCACCGAGTTCCACTCTCAGCCCGGCTATATCTACCTGATGAGTCCAAACCAGGACGAAACCGTCTGTCGTGAATTGCAGGGATGGGAGAGAGCCACCGAAACCCTCCACTTCGGTGACGGTCCCAATGATCGTATTGTTAGTGGCTGCCTTCAAAGTCAACCGTGGCCACAATTGAGATTGTGTGTCGCAATCCAAGACACACAGTGGGTGCTCCAAAACCCGAAAATCAAAAGTAAACATTTCTATTCACATCGAGAAAATGCTTACTCCATGTTTGATATATAACGACTGACAACCAGACTGCATCTATCGTAAACTATTTTATGCTGTTTTTTAACTTTAAGAAACTGAAAAGACATGAAAAAGCATTTTGGTTGCACTCGGGAACGAAATCGGATTCCGTGGCTTCAACAGACAGAGAGTCAATTTATCCGACTGTCTACTTCCGGGTACGGTTTTACATCCCGCTGCACTGTGTTCGCTTGCGTTCTACAGTAAGTATATACTACGAGCAATTGAGGACAAATGTATTGGAATACGGCATACTTTGTGCGCCCAGTTCTTACGTACAGCTGAGCGCTCTCGCTCTTCAGGCGGAATACGGGGATGCTCCTGTAGAGCACGGGTCCCAGGAGGCGCTCGGTTGCTCACTCCCGCGGTACTTCGATCCCTCTTCTATTTATCCGGAAAAGGTAAGCACAGTCACACAGTACCTTCTAAATGTTATTTTTAAATGTCCACTTGTCATTTGATCATTTTTTAAGTGTCATTGGAAAATCAAAGCACCTGTGTATAAATGAATACATAAATTGTGTATTCCTCGACGATACACGAAGCTGTTACCTGGAAGGAACCGATTAAGATTGTTGCATCCGTTTCATGCTGTTACATTAAAAATTTTCAAAAAGAAATATAGGCACAAAGTTCGAGTCTGGGTAACGCAAGGTAATCAAAATTGTTTCGTTGTTTTCCACTTGTCAATGAACCAGGGTTTTTCACAAACATATGAAAGTGATTAGGGCCAGGAAGAAAATGTGATGAAATAAATGGGGTTTTAGTGTCAAAAGTGGCGCATGTGTTGTCCGTAATAAACTCAAGCACCATCGATATCCTTCTCGACAGTTACCGAGTGATAGTGATCTTCCAGACATTTTAGTCTCGTTTTGGACGGTTAATTGCTTACTATTCGCAAGCTTAAAATTACGCAGTGTACAACATGTTCTGATATCTCTTGGAAGTTTATTCCAACTCTTCGTGTAGTGCACCAAAAAATATTCCCTGATTCCTGTAGTAATTTTTGGAATCGTGACTTTTATTTCCTTGTTGTGAATGTGAATGCCGTCATCAGAACCACACGTTTGCGGGTTATTGATTATGTAAAGCAAACATAGATTCAGCTTCATTCTCCGAAACCATACTGGGTCAAATCCAAGCTTATCACAACACTCGCTGTATATCCTCTTTGTGGAATAACCGCATAACTTTCTCGTGAAGCGTCGCTGGACCCTCTCAAGAGCATGCTGGTCAGCTTTTCGCATTCTATTTCACCAATGAGCAGTATTCCATACGAGTAGTACATGGATTTCGTAAAATTAGGCGCGAGATTCCATGGAATCAAAATGAGGGCGCGCGTATCCCATGGTCTTCATGGTATTCAAAACTTGAAAATCACAATGTTCAGAAAAGTTGAAGGCAATAGAATATCGCATGCCCAAGTCGTGAACTGCCCTGCATTGCGAGATAAATAAATAAATAAACGATTTATTCTCGACGGTGCGAAACACGCCTTCAAAGGTACGATCATGGTGATACAAACGCGTAACATCAGTAATGGTACAGAAATGTTACGATTTAACCAGTACATAATGGATATATGTGTGTATCTATGTGTAGTATGTGTGTGGGTGCATGTGTAAGTCAACGTGTTGTGTGAATTTGCTAGTATTACTGTGAATTTATGAGTTTGTTCGGTGAATGCGCCAATATAGGAAGGGATCAGATGAAATCTTTGAAGTGATTGACGTTCGCGAAACGTGTAAGATCCTCCGGTATAGCAAGGCAGTAACCTTATTTGGTAGCGAGTCACATCCTCCACCTCACAGTGTTGTTAAGCAGACATTTGTGATTTCTTATAGGAGGAACGCTTGCCAAGCGAAAACCCACCACCTGCTGGAACACTGCCGCCGAACTATTAGCGTGACCGGGGTTAACCCGAGCCACCCAACTGGCACCATGTGGAGGTTGTTCGGCCAGCCAGCCTTGCAGTAATAGGCTGTCTAGCGGTACTTGACATTTGTACGACAATGTAGTACACTTCTCCACGGCAAATGTCATTTGTCACAGTTGGCACCAAGACTCAACTATAGGTAAGTCATCTTGAATGAGACGTACAGTGGCCTGAGTATTTGCACGTTCTTGTGAGTATACAACTTCAATGACATCAGCAAACAAAAAGCAGCACCATGTCTTATTCTCTGGAATAAATCTTAGCATTTGTGAGAAAGAGAAGTGGACACAGAACACTTCCTTGAAGTAGTCCACTGGTGACTGTTTTCGGTTTAGAGAAATGGTCACTGACGCGCACCACCGGCTGCCTACCAACTAGATATGCGGACAGCTAAAAACAGCTCTCCAATGCCTATTGCCTTCAATTTGTTGAGTAACCTCCGAAAAGGTACTCTATCAAAAGGCTTTTTGCATATCCAAGAACAGGATTACAACACTGTTTCCGTTGTCTATGACAGCATTTGTGTAGTTTAAGAAGTCTGTCTTGCATGTTGCGCAGAATCGACTTTGCCTAAAGCCGTGCTGCGGATTGATGATGATGTTAGTGTTACGTACCGATCTTGTATTCCTACTCCGTGTATGGACCCGTAGTCCGTTTAGACATAGGAAAAACATCAACGCCGGATGGTACGCGTGAGATTGTAATCTGCTCCTAACCGGAGTCAAGTGAAAACACTTAGGACCAAACGAACCAATGAGAAACAGAGACCAGTCAGCGAATACACTATATAGGTAGAAATTCGTCACATCTAGATTCACTCAGACAGTCGTCACACGCCCGGAAAAGCACTGTACGCGCGTTTCATCCTTTCGGGAATCGTCAGCAGTGCGCATTCCATCGGAACCTGGTAGGGCTCGAACCCGCAACTCGACTGTTGCCAGTCCGCGGTTGAGACTACTGAGCTGCGGGGGGCAGTAACCATCATCGTGACTTAGTTACTAGATGTGATATAGCGCTGCTCACTATCCACTGACTTACACGTTACTGCCGTGCAGAGGACAGGGTAGCTCCCTCACGGCAGTAGCGTGTAAGTCAGTGGATAGTGAGCGGCGCTATATCGCATCTAGTAACTAATTCACAATGGTCGTTACCGCCCCCCGTAGCTCAGCAATCTCAACCACGGACTGGCAACAGTCGAGTTGCGGTTTCGAGCCCTACCAAGGGTCCGATGGAATGCGCACTGCTGATGATTCCCGAAAGGATGAAACGCGCGTACAGTGCTTTTCCGGGCTTGTGGCGGCTGTCTGAGTGAGCCTAGATGTGACGAAATTCTACCTATACCATTCAACTCCCCCTACTACTCCTCTGGAATACGTTATAGTCAAGTGATTGGGCGCATGTAGCTAGTGGGTGTAGCATGACCTATCGGTTGTGGATGTCCGCAACATCCCTTCAAATGGCAAATAAAATCAAGGTTGTAAAATATAAACTTCTATTAGCCTCGGTGAATGTCGTGGCCTTCGAACAACGATCGGTAGATCAGCTTCATCCATTTGGGTTTTGTCAGTCGTTTTAGTTTGTTCTTTATCAACGGTTCCATTTTCGGGGTCTGATAATGCCGATGCACGGGTCTGAATAAAGTCGTTGTACCGGCGTACGGTTTCTCCAGTTTCCCGTTATATATTGGCTTCCGTTCTTGAACTGGCCGGTACGGTTTCAAACTGCCATATCGGTTCATGTAGGAATTTCGTATGCACATCCTGTTTCGGTAAGAGACTCTGGGCTTTATCGCGTATGTGTCCACTCTGGTGCATTCGCTGTTGTTGGAAACGCCTAGCTTGACGAGGGTCTGAAAATATTACATTTAACCTCTTATTTGGGCGAAACCCAAACATTGCCTCTCCAGAACTTTTACCGATGTACTCTAGGGGTGTGACACGGTAAGAGAACAAGAGTCGATCTAGCCTAGTGCGCAAACGTCCTTGGATTTGCTTTAGCAGACCGGCCTTCACGGTTTGTACCGCTCTCTCTGCCAAACCATTGGACGCTGGTAGATATGGTGTAGAAGTCATATGGTGGATGCCGTTACTCTGTAGATACTACTCAAAAGCTACACTCATAAATTGTGGACCGTCACCTGTAACCAAAGTTTTTGGAATACCATATATGATTACCATATATATATATATATATATATATATATATATATATATATATATATATATATATATATATATATATATATATATATATATATAGTGTGTTGATCACTGCATCCGTAGCACACAAACGTCCGCACGATATTCTCAGAGGAAAAAGGTTGTCAGTTTGTTCACAGTTTCTGCAGACGGCAGGGTTAAACGTGGACAACTGATATTTCAGATGTTTCCTCTGCTGAACAAGGCTGCAAGCTGTTTCCCAAGAAAGATTTTCTTCTTCCTGAGATAATACGTTTTCTCTTGATCCATCATCTATAATTCCAGCTATCAGGCATTGAATTTTCATGGCTTCTTCAAAACGCGTCGAGCGGATTGTACTGTAACGACACTTCGGGGTAGCTTGGTTAATGCGTACGATACAATCGTTAAGCATTCTCAACGCTGCTGCTGTAACTGCAAAAATTGGTAGCGACCGGAAAACGCACTCTGCTGTATTCCCCATTGTTTTTCAAATAAGTGAATCACTTGTGAGATCCTAGATTTAACCGTTCGGTTCATTGCATCGAAATGTCTTTGTCCTTCGGAACCAAGTGCCTAGCGGAACAATCCAGTGGATATCTGATAGGGTGTTGGAAATATTCAACACGGAAAAGTCATTCGATGTTGGGACGAAGTTTTCCATTAAATACATGCTTGTAATGAATGTTTTTCTGACGTCTCTGGCCAGAGAAATGAAGACCCGCAAGTGGGTTCGTATTGCCCATCGCCATATTTTACGTACCGATCGTGTATTCCTAATCAGTGTTTGGACCCATAGTCCGTTTAGACGCAGGAATAACATCAACGCCTTATGGTACGTATGATACTGTAATCTGCTCCTAACCGGAGTAGTGAAAGCATTTAGGACCAAAGGAACCAATGAGAAACAGAGACCAGTCAGCGAATGCACTATAGTCATGTGATTTAGCGCGTGTCCTTAGTGGGTGTATCATAACGCATCGTTCGTAGATGTCCGTAACAGTTAGCTTTGTTCAAGAATACATAAGTTCATCCTCCTTCATTCTTTTCATTGTTCAAGATAAAATGGTTGTGCGATTGATGGAACGAAAGTTTTTAACCTCACGTGCAGATCCATTTTTGTGTCGCGGGATAACGACAGAAGTCTTCCATTGAGTAGGGTACACTCCGATGTTAAGTGAGTATACGGGTGTTGAGCAAAAGCAGAGGTAAGCCGTTACCACTGCCTTTTATTAAACAGAGAGGGATTCCATCAGGTCCAGGAGCATAATCGAGAGACTTGACCAGTGATTTTCGCAATTGGGAATTCTACTGGGCATAATTTCACTGATTTGGTGCATGATAAGTGTTGGTGTGTCTGATGATTCATTAACCCTTTATTCGGTAAAGACTCGCTAAAAGCTTCACAAATATCATCTGTTGTGTCCAAGGATGTTCCATCAGGCGTGCTGATGAAAGTAAAGGTGGTACTGCCACACGAAGCCCGGGCACGGAATAGTTCAGTTGTTTTGCTAAGGCCGTTCAAAGCTTTGTGCTCTTTTAGAATGAGAGTTTTGTCATACTGATGCTTCGTTCTTCGAGGATCTTGGACTGCTGAAATAATAGCGCCAATTCAACAAGTAGTTTGAATTTCCGCCGAATCTTATGAAGTTTGCATACTGCCTTTAACACGGCGATCGGGTTTATGTTTAGTTTGGTGGGCACATATTAGCGGCACTATTGAACCGATGCAGAGTCTAGTCATACTATAGAGCAGGTCCGCTGCATGTTGAAGACATGAAGATTGAAAGAAGTTACCCCAATTTATCAAACAAACCAGGTTCTTGAATGAGTTCCAGTTGACGGAACTGAACAAACGATAATGAATTTCGTGTTGTACATCGACTATGCGTGGTCTTACTCAACATTTAACCACCAGATGATCGCTCCACGAAAATTCATCAAGAACTTTAATATCAATGGCAGGTGTGCTCCAAGAAAATGTGAGATCCAGAGTACTTTCACCTCTAGTAGGTTGGGAGACGTGTTGACGCCAGCCGTTTATTTGGATACAGATGAATAGATCTTGAGATTTCAAAGGGGCGGTTGCCATAGACCATATGGTCGATAGCAAACTGAAATTACCTCCGATAATCTTATGCACAAACGGCAGGCTAGCAACGTATTCAAATGCAGCGACAAAAGTGTTAGGTCCTCTTGGGTGCCACAAACAACTGCTGCTGATTGCCAGGTATCGTAGGTCACAGGGATTCCTATACGTAGGGAATAACAGAATGAGGTTTGTTAGGAAAGTTGGACAGGCCAACCCCAATGCGCCATATTGTAGGGCGGCGGAAGCCTGGGACTACTCGTGAACTGGAAACACAACGAAAACAGGATAGCTGAGAATTACCAACTGGCGAAATTGATGAGCCAGGGCACTGAGAGCCTTCCGCATCGAGCCGACAGTGGCTCAATAGCGGCATCTGGTAACCAGCATGAGTCCAAAACAAGGGAGGAGGTATCTGTCAGGAAGGCAAGGAATTACACGAATATGCCACCAGCAATGCCCATAAGACCGGACGCGGGCCGAGTTATGCAGCTACGGGTGAGCAAATCGCGCGCGTTCAAACAACTCATGGCTGGCCAAAGTCCGATACAGCGAAGCAGAGATACGGGATAAAAACCTAAACACGTTGTTCCGAAGCTAAAACACGTAGGCACATGGAATGGCTCATCACACAAATGCTCGTCCGCTATGCGCCGCGGCAAGGCAACACGGCCTGAATCTGTACAATTCTGTGAGTTGTTAGTAGAAAGTTCGTGTGGCAATACACACTGTCATCCCGCCTCAATTTCGATACACTGCCATGAACAAGCAGGACGAACCGCACCTAGACAACTCTACAGGAGCGAGGAAAATTAGAGTTACCCTCAGGGAAGAAGGACGATGACGGCGTTCGTTTACCTACCGTGGCTCACTTACGGTGAACACCGGTGATTTACGGTTGTTGTCCCCACCATCCAATAGCCATGCAAGGTTTGGCAAAATTCGCAAAACGCTACTGCGCTTGCAGCAACGTGAATTTCCCTCTCACCTTAGTGGTGAGGACGTGTGGAATTCTTGGCAGGCGAATGATTTAGTGCAGGGCTCATCTGAGTGCAGGCGTGACCTGGTGAAGACGTACGGACATGAGCCTGTTTTGGTTATCGAACGAGATGAGTACAGACAGCCGCAACGTGTATCCGGCGTTCGTTAGCTGTCAGCTAACTTCACGCTGCGTGCTGCATGGCCAACCGTAGGCGGTGGAGCGACCGATGGTTATCTGTATGTCTGGCTGGCCACGCAGCGAAGTCGGTGTAGGCGAGATAGAACACGCAAACACAACTGCAGCGTGAATGTGCGCACGTGATGGCAGCTCAGCGAACCGGGTGTTGGACTATTTGAGGACAAGGTTAGGCATCGCAAGTCATGTCAATATCATTAGATATCCCCCACGGATGATGGAGCACGAGCAGACAGTGCAGTCGGGTTCACGTAACGTGCCTGTTTCTCAGTGCGCGCTGATTACTCGGCTGTACGGTGAATGTGGTTTAAACGCCACATCAACTCCACGAAGATACAATGCCATGAACGCAGGAATGCGTCCCGTCACCGCCCGGTACGTGTTTAAACTTGCGAAGAAGTTCGAGCAAACTGGAAGTGTGTGTGACATGAAGAGAACCGGACCGCCTCGCATCATCACGGACGACTATTCAGCCTGCGCTGTAGTCAGTGAAGTGTCAAAACGTCCCGATCTCAGCATCCGTCGGATCTCAGAGTACTGTGACACGACCTAATATGCGGTACACCGGAGATTACAGGAACGAAACGTTCGAAGATTCCGTGCACTTCAAGTGCAGGTTTTGAACCCATGGGATCCAGAGAAGTGGCATGAATTTAGCCGCTGGTTTCTGGATCACGGGGATATTCGTTCTGTTATCTTTACAGATGAGGCATTGTTTCATCTGCATGGAACAATGAAACACTACTCCTGGGCTACCAGCAACCCACGAAAATTCACCGCATCACGTATGCACCACAGTGTGAAACTGATGATTTGGGCTGGATTAGCAAGCCAGAAAACCTTGGGCCCATATTTCTTTCCGAGAATGTGAGCGGTAGGTTGTTGTTTTGAAGTACTAAAGCCTTATCATTTCCTAGCATCGTTGTACTTGGAAATGCTGCAGACATTTGTGCGTCGCCAGTTGGAGGCCGAAGGGGCATGTAGTACCATTTAGTGCCAGCAGGATGGTGCGCCTGCACATTCTGCTAATACGGTGCATGCCTACCTGACAGACAAACTTGGTCACCATTGGATCGGACGCGGTGGACTAATGGAGTGGCCTGCTCGCTCGCCAGATTTGAACCCCATGGGCATTTTTCTATGGGGCTATCTGAAGCGGCGAGTGTACAAAACAAGCTCGTGTACATTGAACCAATCGAAAGAAAATATTGTGAACGAATGTCGCGCGATCACGAGGGATACATTGAAGAAAGTGCTCGCCAACTACATCAAGCGGTTTCTGCACTGCAAGCGGAATGCCGGTGGGCATTTTGAACATATCCTTCACTAACATAGATGATCGTTCCCATACATTGCTGTTACTATACTTATCCTCTCGCACAAATTCGTTAACAACTAAACTGGTCCGCTGGCAAATGGTGGTAATAATGCGTCTGGTGGGATAGAATTCTTAACGTCCATGCTGTCGTTGGACACATAAACAGCCTAGGCACCGAAACGTTCGATGGCTACTTCTAGCGGAATCACTGAATCGCTATGAGCTGAGGTTCGTCCACCCTTAATGAAAAGACGACTGTGCTGTTGACTCCGTTTCAGGCTATTGCCTATGAAGTTGGTGTTCGGGATGGGTGTTTTTAGTCGCTGCTGGTACGAAAGGTTGCAGAATCTCTTGACACATTTTGTTGCTCGACCATGGTGAGTTTCAATCGCTGCAAGATCACGCTTTAGCCAAGCGTGCCAAGCCTGGATTGCGTACTCGACGTGGGAACGCACGTAGGCATTGAACACCATAGAGAAGGTGAATGAATCCAAACTTCCGAATGCCATCCGCAAGCTAACAACGTGCTGGTTACCACTTTCGAAAGGGATTCCGATTGTCTGGAATAACCCAAGTCGTCCTGCACCAGCACACTGGGTTCAGGTTCCTGAGGGCAAGGATTTGATGTTGTTTTTCCAACGGCTGGGCAGACGTTTGGTGATTGGGCTCCCCGAGTTGTATTTTAACGCAAGAGAACGGCTACGCAAACAGCAATTTGCGCGAAGCCTGCCGAACGCACTCCATGACGAGGTAAATTTGGTAGCGATGGTTGGAGAGAGCAGGGCGGAGGAGCTGGT